CAAGTTATTTAAATGGAAATGCTAAACAATATTATCAATAGGTTGTCATCTAACACCTATTAAGTATGCTATTACCTATTAATTATGCTTTGTTCACACTTAGTAAAATATTTTTTTCCTTTCTGTTATTCTTTCAACTGCTTTATCAGGTTTATTCTAATTCAGGCAACTTAAAGGTCAATAATAATTCTAGTTAATAATGGAAAGCTTTTTGACCAAATTTTCTATTTAGGAAAGAAAAGGTCTCCTTCTTTCAATAATCAGTTGAAGCAGTTACTGTTTTATAACAGAATAAAACACTTTGTAAAACAGGCACATAATTATTTTAGTTTTAAAACGTTTTATTTCAGATAAAGCATGCTGCTATATACAGAAAAAAGTGTGGGTCAAAGCAAGAGCAATACAGAAGGGGTAACGTATTCCTTAAAACTTTAAAGATGCTTTTAAAAGCTTCAGTGCAACAGTAGTATGATATATTCTTCTCACTCCTAAATCACCTCTAGCAAAATGTCATTTCCTTGCAGAACCTGAGCAACTCCAGCTAACTCTCACTTTTATATAATGATAAATTCAAATTTCCAACACAAAACTTACAGCAATGGTTTCAGCAAATAACCTCTACCAGTATAATATATTGAAGAAATATAACTTCACATTGTTAAAATCTTATTTCAAACAGCATCATTCAATTATGCAAACTAAGTATGTTGCACATTTAGCAATGTCTAGGCCAGTCAGTTTTCCTTTTCAACTTTCTCCTACTTCATCATCTTTACAGCAGTAAAACTCAGTAAAAGTCTCATTCTTCTTCCTCCTAAAGAACTACTGTCAGCAACTTCCCTCTCATTTTCTTCTAAAGTCAGGGACTATAATAGTGATATTTTCCTATATACTGAAGTCTGAGATAGTAAAGGAGTAAAGCTAAAACTACTTTAAAATGAAGAACATGAACTGGGATTTGCATGGTTATTTTTAGCTGTGGTGACAGTGAATGACTAACAGGCTAACAACAGAATCCTACAGAGCAAGGCCCCGGCAGTGCGTGTGACACGCTGGGGCTCTAACTCAGGACAGCAGTTAATGTTTGACTGTCACTCTGTCTGTGTTTGCCCCATAAATGTGGGCTTTTAGCTTTTAACATTAAGGAGCTGCGCTGACAGGCCGTGATGCCAATTGCGCAATTTGGCAAAGCGTGGGCTGTTACGTTCCGTTTCAAACCTTTCCCTGTGGCATGAAGAAAGAGAGAGAGAGAGAGACAGAGACAGAGAGAGACACAAACACAGAAGAAAGAAAGGAGGGAGAAAGAAAGGGGTTAGGGACCACGGCTACCACTCCCCTGCCTTATAACTAGGGCAATGGCAATTTATTTGGATTTTCTCCTCGGCTGTCAAATCAGCACAATGAAGGCTGGGTGATGCTTTTTGGACACGTGTGAAAGGTTTTGCAGCTGTTCGTTTCTGAGAAGTAACTTGATATAACTTCTTATTCTTTGACTTGTGCTTGGTATTACAGGGCTGCTTTTGCTAGAAATGCAGTGTAATCCCATTGTTTTCCTGCCAGCAGTTTCTCTTGGCTTTTCCCTCCCTTCCCCCCAACTGAGCAGTCAGTGACAGTTAACTCATAAAAGTGCAAAATGAATGCAAGTATTTTCCATTCTGTAACACTTAGGCCAGCCCATATTCTGCTGTCCTTCCTGCAAGGACCATCACCCACAGGTTTAAGCAGCACTTTTCTATAGCTTTTCTCAGCATTAGTGAGTATTAGTGTTGACATTTGCATAAACATTTCTGGTCACAGGTGTCACAAAGCAGAACAACACGGGATTTTCAAAGCAGAGTCCTGTGAAGTATTGGCCACCTCCTGCCCCCCCCAGCTACCTCTGACTGCGCACTGGGGCTGTCAAGCCATGTTCAGCACCTCTCAGGATTTAGCCTTTTCTAGACACTCTAGAGTTTAAATTCAGGTTTTGTAAATAAAAAGGGGAAGAAGGAGGATGTGAGATGAGAGCACAGTCAAGGAGAAGTATATCAAACAGAATGGAAAATAAAATGTTCTTGTTATTTGCAAAACGTATTCGAGTCATTGCAAACAAGGTAATTTTTTCCCTCATTATTTACACTCAAAACACAAGACAATTAATTGTGTTAATGCAGTGAAACTTGAGAGTGAAACCAGCCAAACAGAAATGAGCAGACTGAGCTGGTTTTACTCCTCAAGCTGAAGAAAGCACAAAACAATAAACAGAGTAAATGCCAACAAATTCACTGATATTTCTAAATCGTCTGTTCTTAATAACATGGTGTCATGCAAGCAGCACTCCTAAAGGAGTCTTGATGTATGACTTCTCAAAATATCTTTTACATTTTTAAGTAATTTAAAGGTATAAAGTATTCCTAGCTGAAACTTCTTGATGGCATTTTTTTCCAGTTACACCGGAGTGTACCAGCTACAGTGGGTCTGACATGTAATTTCAGAATTCCCTTACTGCTTTCAAGATATTACCCCTCCATTCAAGAAAAGGTATTCAGAAACATGTGTTTGGCTTGAAATGGACCCCTTCTTTCCAGAAAATATTCCACCACAATCATCACACCAGCAATGGAAAGTTTTCATAGCAAGTTATAATCTCATGCGTGCCTTCAAAATAGCAGCAGCACGAGCGAGGGACAGTCATGCAATGTGCTCATCAATATTAACTGAAAGGGATATTCTGCCACCCAAAAATGCTCAAGCTTCATGGGTTACATTTAGGACATATGTCATGAAGTTAGAAGCAGCAATCTAAAAGTGACTATTTTTATGTAAAACAGTTCTGCCAAAAATAAGCTACATGTACCACCCCCTATCCCCCAAGAGTTTGGGAGAAATCTGATCAGCATTTCATGCAGTTCTTGCAAGGGAAAGCATCAGAGAGATTGCTCACAGCATGCCCTGAGACCAAAATCCCCTGCCCTCCAAAATCTCTGGCAGTTTAACTTTTGGAACATGAAGGATTTTTCCAGAACTCCAGCAAAGCAGGGGATTAATGCAACACTGCATCTGGCAAGACTCAGGTTTTGCAGTTCAACCTTTTGCTTTCAGGAACCCAGGAAACCTTCCAGATGATCCCAAACTGTGAACGTGGAGAAAGGTGTGGTTGTATTGGCTGAATCTGGAGTAGGTGCCAAAGAGGACTTTCTACTCCATTACTGTGCTGGAAGAGCAGAGTTCAAGCAAGGAGTCTGCGCATCTAACACAGGTCTTTCCGTGCCTCATAAAATCCAAAGTGGTAGGAGCCTTCCCAAGAGATGAAGCAGAAGGGGTCCAACGGCCCCCAGAGAGCTGTGTATGGTTGATACATGCACAGCTGGGACTTTTGCTACCACATCTGCAGTGGAGTGTGTGCAATGTTTGAGGCAGGCTCCAACCCACCCCCACGGGGTGGGCACTGTCAGGGAGGCAGGAAGGAGACCCCATTTCATTCCTTGCCCCAGACCTCACACCAGTTGCACGGTACCCGTGTAACTACCACGTGTATGTTCCCTTGACTCCACTACCAATGAATGCCCTTAAACCTGCTCAGCTGTGCCTAAACATAGCCAGAATCTCCTTGTGAAAACAAAGGATAACACAGGGACACCTCAAAACTGCAGAAAACATGCAAAGCAAAGTGGAGAGAGTCACATACTTGGAGATAGAACGTGCAATTTCCACGTGTTGATGTGTTACTAGATAATTATCGTCAACATATCTGATACCACCTAAAATTTCCAGTACCTAATATTTTCCAAAGCTACAGACTACATCTAGAAAGATTATTCCTTTAAAACAACATATTACTGTCAGATGTGAATGGAGGACTCATAAGTTCATCACAATGCTCTAAATCCCATCATGGTAAGGATTTAGACGTGTGCTATTACATCAGAACAGATAATGCACAATACATTTAATGAGAATTAGGCTTGCACATTTTAGGGAAGAAATAAATCCCTGAGGGATATAATGTCAAGCCTGATGTTCGGGCACTCAGCCATGAACTTGGGTGAACTGCAGTGGAAGGTTTATAGCAAACATCAACTGAAAGCACACTCGTATTCTCACAGGGAAGATACCAGATTTCTTTTTCACTGATTCAACATTTGTAACTAGCACTGTGATCAAAAGCTCAGAATCTTTAAGGAAGCCATATGGCAGCAAAAAGAAAAAGAAAAGGAGGTGGTTTGAGTACCAAACACGTCACAAACCCAGCCAGTGGCTTAGGGTGGCTCATGTGAAACAGGGATTTGAAGTATGCAAACAGCAAATAAGGCTTACACCCAGGATGCTCTTGATTCAACTGCAGTTTTAGCTCAACATAAGAATCTCTAATACATCTATTTCCTGACTATGCAGGATGATGATAAATCTTTAATTCCATATTACATCTCTGAACATACCCACTTTTTTTTGTAAGCGTTTTTGATAGATCACATAAAGCAAATACATTTATCCACTAGCAAAAGCAGTCCTGTGCTTCCGTATTCTAAAAATTTGGGTCACATTTATTCCAAACAAAACATAAGCTAATGATTATGGGTATGGATGGAAACAACTCCTTTACTGTATCATTTAAGGAGAAGCAGAGGGTCATCCAAATAAATTGCTCACAAATCTCAGTGCTATCACAACATTAAATATTTTCATCCAGTTACACAATCAAGTAGTTACACAGGGCTTGGAATTCACCACATTCACACAGCCAGTAAAGTACAGGAAAGTTGCATGAGCAAAGAGCTTTGAGATTTGAACACACACTCCAGGAATTTTCCACCGTCTCTCCTAAAAACATGCTAATTTGTTATCCTTGCCATTCAAATGCCTCTCACTGATAGTATTTTAATTTTAGTGATTTTTAAGTAAATGTATTAGAATATTTTAGGACAAAAATATAATAAAGGAGATTCATATTAGTGCCATTTTAAAACATTATTGGGTTATCAGGAAGATGAAAGCCATATTTTTCACGGGGAGTTGCCTACCTTGACCTCCTCAGGGCTTCTTCATCTGGATCTTGCACTGTAGACCAAAAACATTTCAGTTAAAAAAAGAAAGAAAGAAAGAGAGGAATTGGCTTTATGATGAAATTATAAGTTCCTTAGAAACATATCAAAGCCTATCTAAAGGTGCATTCATGCTGACTTTGCAGCAGTAGAATTTGTAAGAATATCATGAGGAAGAGTAGTTCCCTAGAGATAGGAAGGAGGATGTTAGGAGGAATGGAGCTATTACAACTAGTTTGTCATTTATTTATTAGCAGTGTTTCACAGCTGCAGGCAATGATTCTACAGAGAGGTCCTGCTGTTTTGCAGGAAAGCACAAGAGGTATCATCAGCAGATTCAGAGAAAACACCAAGTATGTCCCCCTGATGCCGGAAAAGGGCCCTGAACTTCCTTATCTCTAGATCAGACACCAGCTGTGAGGTACCAGGTGGTCAGAAAAACATTTCCATAGGCAATAAGCAGCAAAGTTCAATCTCCTGTGACATTCATAACAGATCTAGGTTTAGATAACAGGGCTGATAGAACCATAGATTTAATACAAATGGTGATCCATGATTTTTTTTGACCTCCAGAAGTCACTTCTATAGAAGGCTGTTACAAGAGACATGATTCATTCATCATTTTTTCTAATGAATGGACAGCTTTGTATGTCTAGGCTGCTGGAGAACGAAAAATTGCACTGCAGAAATTTGATTTGTAAGTAGGAAGAACTATGGGGTCCCGAATGCTCTTTTACTGTATAGTCTGTTACACTTTTATGGTGAGACCCCTGGCAGATCAAAGAATTTTCTTCACAAAGCATAAGGTGAGACTGTACACTTTGATTTCCTATTCTCTCTAGTTGCACCCAGGATCTTGGACTGAAAACTACGAGTCTGGACATGAGTATTCCTTCAGCATCAGTGGTCAATACATAATGACAAGAATCTAAAATCAGGATGAGGAGCATGTTTTGTTATTCACTTACTGTACTCGGTTCCAGTCATCTGGGCAAGGATGCGGAAGGACTTGGACTGCAGGTTGGCAGAGCGGCGGCTCCAGTCCTCGCTCTCGTCCTCAGGCTTGTTCTGGGTTTTCAGCACAGCCTGATACACCGGGGAGGCACTGTCTACGTGAGGGTCTTTAAGAGGGAGGGCACTGCAATGCAGAAAGTGAAATGATGGGAAACAGTACGTGGTGGCTTTCCTCCCACCTCCCAACCTCTCCGGTCTCAGCTTATCACCCAGAGTAACAGCAATCCATCACACGGCTTTGAAATTACCACTTCTTAAAAAAATACACTGATCAATTTTGTGTTATGCCTCATTCTATCTTTGGAATGGCCCGTTATCATCAAATCTGCATATTCAAAACAGCATGAAAATGCTTGGAAATATCTCTTCATGATTCCTCAGCCAAGGAAGCCACAAGCTTACGATGGTTAGAATAACGCGTGGTGATAAAGGAGAGTATGCCAAGCAAAAACATTTATTTCTCTGAGAATTCCTGTCCCATATTATTTCTTATAAAAATGACTTCATGTTGATACTGTTTTATGTTGCGCCTTTAAATTATAGCGTTGGGCCAGTGTACTTTGAGATTGTAATTAGAAATAAAAACCGTATTTCATTATAAAAATAATGTGGTAGGCTTTTATAGCTATTTCTAGAGATGATTCTTTGTCAAACTCTGAATTAAGCTTCCATCTTCCACAAGTTTGGATTCATTGTCTACTAAACCTGTGAAGCAAAAGAAGTCTAGACTTGTACTCCAGACTTGCACACATATGCTGTATCTGAAATCTTTAGCAACAGAATGGATCTCAGAGTCTTACAACATGCCTACTCATCTTGCAAAGTGATATGTCCAGGAAAAAACTTTCAATTGTGCACACCTAAAATCAGAGCTACCAAGGTCTGTAGCACAAGTGAAATAACCTCTTTTTGATTTATGATGTAAGCTAGAAACAGGCTTGGTAACTTAATAGTGCCTTTTTCCCCCCTGTGAAAATAACTTCTGCATAGCATACAGTTAAAATTAACTATTAACAGAGCTGCAGGAATATACACTGGGATGATGTATGCCTGGAGTAACTTGGCTCCATGGTTTCTCTAAATACAAGGTCTATTTTTGAAGCACGTGATTTATTGTAACAGCTTTAACTTGCTATTCCATAAAGAGCTTTGCAAGCAGCAAGCTCAACTTCAGGAAAACTGAGAAATGATTCTGTTAAAAGCTAAGGGCCATTTGGTCCAACTAAGTCACTGCCATAAAGTTCCAGGAGCGGTCCCCTGCTGTAAAAGTTTCTTCCTTGGCTCAGGCTCAAACGTAGTGTTCTCTAAGATACCATTGTGCAGAGAAAATCCACAGAGAAGCTGAGTCTGTAAGACCTGAGAGGAATCATGAGAAAGCCAAGAAGTGTGTCTGACATCCTACATACAGCAACAACATACACTGTGATGAAAAGTGTTACCAGGTAGTGCTTTAAACATCAGTATTTTCCAGCTGATGGAAAATTCCTCTTCATCAATACACGGTTTTGATGGTTTTGGATGTAATAGCATGGGATGTGTTTTTCAGGTCAGACAACAAGGGGCTCAGAAACATGATCAGTGTTTATATGGACCCAAAAGCACCCCAGCTCTCTAGGAATTTTCAGTTTTTATTGGAGGAGTATTTCTGTTCTTCATAACTCCCAATATATGCAAACTTGTCACTTTCTTGAGGACCCAGCACAGCACAAACCCCAGTTAATTTTTTTGGTTTTTGCACGTTTCAGCACAAACATCTACATGATGGAGCACAGCTTGGAAAAAAGGTGAATTTGGAAAAAAGGTGAATTTAGAAAAAAGCCTGATTCTTCAGTTTAAGCTCCGCCACAAAACATACAAGTTATGTAAAAAAAGCTTCTCAGTGTGGAAGATGTTCTGTAGGAACAAGCAGCATTTTCCAGCTCCTCTTTTAGCTCATGTTTCCCAGACTACTATCCTTACAATATCTAAACACTAGCAGGTACAGAAGGCGTGATGTAGACCTGTTCATTTTGGGAAGGGTGTGCCACCAGTGGCTTCCACTAGTGTTGCTCATAGAGGGAGACAGGAGAGAGAGCAGTAGTGTTCCTCTTCTGGCCCATCACATATGGCTGAAGGGCTTGCTGAGGTAGGGCAGCAAGTGTGGGAGCAGGAATAGTCTTTGCATGGAAAAGAGATTCTCTGTAACACCAACAGTAAGTCAGCAACCCACTCAGGACTGTTCTACTGCTGCCTCTGACACTTGGCTATGCTGAAAAGTTCTGTCACTGAAAAGGGTCTTGTTAATGTTCCCCAAAAGATGACCCCAGAGGCATTTGAGGGTTCTGAGCACCTTGCCCTGCACGACTGCTATCGGTGACTGTCTGAACTGGGCCAACAGTTAACTTTGTATCCCCAGACTGACTTGTTAATCTTGCTGAAGCTTAAAAAAACTGCTCTTTTTAAGCAGTGTGATAGTAAATTTCCCAGCTGCACGCTGTTGTAAAGGGGATTATAAACCTCTGCTGACTTCAACTATAGACCACTGTGGCAACAGCACCGTGCAAGTTACAGACAGGACAAATTCCTTTGACTAAATCCTCTTGCTGAAATGCTTTGTTCCTATATTATGACCAATATACAAAAAAAAGCAGTTTAAAGGTTTATGTATAATTATGCTATTAACTCAAGGGTATTTAAAAAAACTACAGCTAAAGGCTGGACCACAAATTTCACAGTAGTAACGTGTGGCATTAACAGGACATATTAATATCCTTATGGCAGATGATTAAGGCAGGAAATGGAGCTTGGTGAATTAACCTTCCCTAGCAGAATGAAACATGCTCATATGAATTGAACTAAATTAATGCAATACATTGGAATATTTCCAAATCTGCCTTTAATTCAACAGGCCTTTTTCTTTTTTTTAAATCATAATTACATTGTAGATGAGTAACTAGGGCATAAGAGGCACTCAGCATGGAAGTGTAAAATAGAGCACATCGCTGATTATCAGCATTTCATAAACCTAAATGTGACAGCTGATTCTTACAGACAACCTAAAGATGCACATAATCACGTTAATACCTCTGTTATACCTCTTTGTAATTTAATTTCTTTCCATCTGGGTGTGGATGTGCAGAAATATTATTCATCTTTAAGCATATTACTCTAAATTGATGTTACTGAAAAAAAATTCTTCCCAAATGGGTTAGAGGTTTTGAGGGTTTTCACACTACAGTCTAAGGTATTTTAGCAGGAGTCAATAAAGAATACTCCTTTTTCACATCATCATCTAGTCACACCTTATTAACATTAAAACAAGCTTTAAAGACAATCAAGCCTCTTTGAGTAAGCAGCAGTGGAATTATTATTTTTTGGAGTCCATTATAAACTACAGTTTACCATGTGAATGGTACCCTGGAGTCATTAACCGGGTTTAATTTAAGTAGATAGTAAGTTAAACCTAGGAACACTGCAGTGTTTTACCCTCGGTGTAGACATACCACGAAATATTGTGACTTCAGATATTAGACTAATTCCAGCTATTTAATAAAAGTTCTAAGAGGTAAAAATCCCCACAACCCAAAAAACAAACAAAAGTTCATGTAGGCTGGTAAGTACCCAGCCAAGCTGACTTACTGCAGAGGATACACAAGACTTTAGTTTCTACACAATCACATCATTGATTCTGTTACTTTAACTTGTCAGTTCTTAATCCTGATAAAATTGTTGAATTTATGTCTACTTATGACTTGTGAATTTGGCTAAATTTAGAAGAGGTTTGACAAATGTAATCAAAATGTACTAATCACATGGTTTCACTGCAACCAACTCTTGCTTCTTGGTTTAGCAAAGTCAATTAAAACAAAACAGAGTAAGAAAAGATAAGAAGCCAGGGCATTCAAAATTTTCTGCCTCTCAGTTCCAGTGTGATGTGTGAATAACTGCAGTATAAACAATTCTGTGCTTTCCTTTGTGTTTTCTACGGTGATCCAGCAAGTGGGGGTTGTTTTCCAAATGACAAAAATCTGATTCTGATCTCACTAAGTTACAGCATCACTGATTTCAAATGCTGAAACAAGAAAATGTTTTTCTTGTCTTAAGCCTGTCTGTCCTTCATCACTGATAGAAGATGCAAGCAGTGTTTCCAGGTACTGTCTGCCCTTTAGATCTGCAGTCTGAGTGTGCTCACCATCTTACAGACACCTTGTGGTTGACCTCTAACGTGAAATGAAAAGCCAAAAGAAGAAAAGTTAAGCCCTGAGACCAAATTATGGGCAGAGAATTGAGACAAAATCAATCAGCTCACAATTTGGTCTGCTTTTATATGAAAAACTTCTCATACAAATCCTTCTGCATTAAGCATAATCTTATTTCAAACTTGACCAACTAAGCAAACTAAAGAACATATCATTTCCACTGCAAGTTAAAGTTCAGAATATCAGGGAGGCCAAAAGAACCTAAAGGCTTAACCAAATGAATATCAGTCAGTGGGTAGGTAGGCCTTTGTTATAGTAGCACAACCCTTGCTAGGTTTCTAAATGTCTAGATTAAAAATGCTGTGTTAATTGTAATAAAAAAACTTACAGAGAAAATTGTACAGTCACCAAGTGTTATAAATAAATTAAAAAAAAAAAAAGGCAAGGTACGTTAAAAACCAGAGTGTAGCTCTCATCGCAGTGGGAATAAAAACATTAGTTTCTCCTCAGGACCAGGTGAATGTTTGGCTTAGGAGTCACATTCCAAAATGAAGCAAAAGCTTAAATGGTAGCTTATTCAGTGAATCCTAAAGAAAAATGTGTTTTTTGCAACATTATATGGGAGAACACAGTCACGGAGTTGTCTGCAAAGAGTAATCTTTCACTAGACCTGTCTGATAGAAAAGGATTAATGGAAACAACCCTCTCATTTCAAAAACACCCACTCAATAGGTGGCTTCCATGTTCAAAATGAGAAAAAAAATGAAGTTAAAAAGTTACAACACAGTGATGTTTAACATACTCTTTGTTGTTTGTGGCCTAATGACTCAACACTCCATAACAGCCTATTTTTTACCTACGTATCCATTAATTCGGTTATTTTAAAAATGTATGTATATACTAACATAATAAGTACTCAGCAGTGCAACTTTATAATCATCTGACCACTTAAATAGGCAATTTTTTGAAATATTACTATTTGCATCATATAATACTACAGCATTTAGTAGAAAATTCCAATATATGATAAAATGTCTCACATAATCCATGCCTATAAAACCCATGACAGATGTGAACAGTTATAAAGAACACAGAATGAATGAACTTCTCTCTTTGTACTTGGCTAATTGGAAATGTGAGTCTACTCAACACCCGTCATTCACTGAGTCATGGTCAAAACCAGCTAAGGGTATTGTTTGGGATCCATCATTAGGGAGAGCTGTGATGTAAAAAGTTAGTGGGAAAAAAAAATACATAAAAAAAGAGAGAAAAATGTCCAGTAAAAGGGAGCACATGCAAATACATGAATCATGTTCATTTTGAATAAGCCTGAAGCTATCATATTGAGAAGAAATTACGTTGAAGTGTGTTGCTGTACCTATGTTTTAGTGTCCCATAAAAAGATGGCAAGTTCTATTTTGGGTAAAAAGACACCTGGTAAGAGAGACACCTGGCTACATTCACTGCACATGTAATTTCAGTTAAGTTGTAACAACGCTGGGTAAGTTAATCAGATGGATTTCCAGAAACATGCACTGTAAAAGCAGAGTTATTGAAGATGAGTAGATTTTGCCATAGTCCAAAGGATATGTGTAGGACACATGTACTGTATGTAAACCAGGGAGAGGGAAAATACAGCAAAACACTCCATTCTGTGGAATAAAACAGTAGCCAGTACTAAGTAAACATTTTGCATTCTTCATGTATCAGTAAAAATCCCCTCCCCCTTTCCCGTTATTCCCAAGCTATGCATATAAAACAGTGGTTATTACAGAGCATGGTCATCAGAAATGAAAAGCCATCCAATGTCATATACAGAGCACTACATTTATTTTAGTGTGGTTCTAGGAGGAATACTAAAAGGGAAAGAGTTAAATTAAAGTATCCTTGACCATGGTATATTTTTGGAACTAGATGATCCTTAAGTCCCTTCCAGCACAAACCACGCTACGATTTTCTAGCTATCCATCCTTTTAACTTCAAAATATGGAAGTGCTTTCAAACATTGTCCAGTATTTTTTATGTGTAATATACCCAAATAAAAAAGAGTCCAGGAAGAGCAACCATGTCATGCAGGCAGGGACTGTTACATGTACCATGCAGACAAAGAGCATTCCACAAAAGGAAATGACCTTACCCAGCAAATTCTCCACCCTGGGCTTGTGCCTGGCCTGCAATTGCATCCATGATAGCATCCTGGGAATACATGCTGATCGGGGTGTTATACTGGGCGTGAATTATGGTAGCCTTGCCGCCAAGGCCCTTCACCTCAATGGGTTTGTGTGTAGACAGGGCAGAGTCCTTCAGGACATTGGGGTTGAAACGCTCCGTGAACTCCGGGCTGGGTTATGCAAGAGTGAGGGTCCCCAGGGAAGGAAGAAAGGAGAGAGGCGTGAGAGTTAAGTGAGAGAAGCATCACCAGCAGAGGAGTGTGCACGTCTGTTCATGGCATCTCACCACCAAAGCTTCCCATCGCAGAATAGGAGACAGCACAAGTACCAAGTCACAGCATCAACTGGCTGCCCCAATGGATGACATTTTTGTGTTGGCTCACAGATGTATAAAGAGGAAAACAAAGGTGAAACAGCTGTCACTGCATTAAAATATCATGGCAAATCCCTAAGTATTAATGTGATAATTACATATACTAAAATTCTGTTGTTACATGCATACATACCCATAAGTGTGTACAAATATACACACAGGTGTATGTGCAGGCCCATGGGATGTACACCCAGACTGCACTTTCTCCACTGCATCCATTCACGCTTTCAACATTCTTACAAAGCACTAGGAAGTGCAGTGGGGTGAACAGATTTCTGGTCCTCTATTATTTAGAAGGTTCCAGTACTTTCTGTCTGGATTATTAATCACAGTGAAATTTAGTACTTTTTATATCTTCAAAGTTTTCCTCACAAAGACTAAATCTTCCAAAATCTCTGTACAGCCACCCCCAAGTGCTGCTACAGCGTGATAAATGCTCAGTCTCAGACCAAAATATCCCGCATTGCAACCAGTGGGGCAACTGCATTTGGAAGAGCAGCTGCTGTAGTTTCCAGTGGCTCCATTTAGGAGGAAGCACTTTTATTTGAGAGACTGAGCCCCAAGCAAGTTAAATTACATCAGAATGAGCCAGTTTAATGTCAGGCTGCAGCCAAAGAGTACCTGGCTTCTTTGTAGGGCTGAGTTGTACATTGTTCTAGCCCCAGAGCAAGGACTGAGCATTGCCCAGCGTTTCAAGGAGCAAGTTAACTCTTCAGCGGTCAGACACTGAAGTAGCTGCTCTTCTCTAACCTATGGAAATCAGATGATTCTCTAGTCTGCTCTTCCTGTCCTGCCAGCAGAATAGATTCCATATGCTCACTAAACTGGACAAAACTGGGAATTCTGTCCTTTGGATAACTCACAAATGTTAATCATTTACAACTAAACCTGAAAGGTGGAAATGGATATATCTTCCCCTGCAAAAGGAATTCTGAAAATGCAATCCCGTCTGACTGGGAAAATGTTCCTTTTCAGTTTAGGACGTTTTACTGTAAGTCTGTTTGCTACTGTTAAGTTTTTCTCTTTACACACACAGTAGTTTGCCTGTTTGCCATGGGAGGAAAAAGTAAAATCAAGTAAAGCTGGCAGCCATCTGACTTAATCTTCCAGAGATTATCACAGGTGATGTGCCACCTCTGAATCCAGCCAGGGGATTCCACTATGTTTTCAGCGTTTTGTTTGGTGGGATGCCCTGACTGAAGATGGACAGAGAGATACAGCCACACATCATTCCAAATACTTGATAGAACATTGACAGCCACATGCTCAAGGAACAGAGACACATAAATGCACATGCTGCATCACAGGCACAGCCTTTAGATACACATCAACATTTTAAGGGAGGGAACCAGGAAGCTGCATTATGCATTCAAAAAGTGAAAATCATCTTTTTGCAAAGACATTTTCACATTAAAAATGTATCTCCATTAACAATTCATCAACTATGACAATTTTATTATTACACTGACATCATCTGTAGAAGGGTGATGTGCAGGGACGTGCAGGTTGCTACACTGAGCATGAACATGCCTTACTTCAACAACATCCTCTCTTTCCTTTGTAATACCCTAAAAGATCACACGATAATTACAAACACGCAGCTCCTCAAGATCTTGAGTTTAGTATTCTCTTTCCTCCATGCTGTTGGAAGTCTTGAAGAGGTTCTAAACGCAAGATCTGAGAAGACTGTGTGAATGAAAGGACAGAGGTTAAACACCTCACCTTTACAGAAGGAAGTTCTAAGCAGTTGGTTTCCACAACTACAGAAATCAAAGCTAGTAATGTCAGAACAGCCTAAACTTCCCTAACAGCAGCAGCAGGAGCGATCTGGGCTTTCACTTGTGGTCTTTAAACAGCTTCAGTGATGTCTTTCAAGAGGTTTTAGTCACGTTACAAACAGCAAGGCAAAACTTCAACTGAAGTTAACAGGATTCCCACAAAACTAACAGAAAAAGGGACAGATTTTCAACTACAGAGTTTTCTTTATAACTCTGGAGGTAAAGAGAAGATATTAGTGCTTGTAAGGGGTGCTGCTCTCTAGGACAAAGTGGCAAAGGTAAGGCTGCAGAAACAGCTGGAGCACTGCTGCAAAATGAATGAGATCTTTCTCCTCAGCTAGAAGAGGACTGGAAAAATAAATGCCAAAGCAAGTAAGATTAAAAACACCCCTACAATGTGACTTCTGCTTTCTAAGACAATTGTGTCAGAATAATCATCAATGTAAATTGGCCAGCGTTTGTCACACCAAAGGAGTTCCAGTATTTGCCTGACATCACAACCCACACCTCACTAAAATCAACTGAGAATGCCAGATCAGTGTAAATTATGTGCATTAAATATTATCTCAACTTATATGTATTCTACTGCTTCTAACCTTGTATTGTCAGTTTAAATTTCACATTTAACTATTAGAGTTATTTACTTTGTGCTGAATTTAACCCAGTCTCTAGAAATTTCTGGATAAAACAGTCATTTCAGGAACAGAAAGTGAGAGTTTAGAGATAATCCTCTGCCCTTAGGAAACTTTAGATCAAAACTGAGGACTGTGAACTTTCTTAAATAAAGCAGATTATTTTCTAATCAATAGTTATTTCGTGTTTGGGCAATACATTTACTAAGGTAAATGGGTTTGTGGATTTTTTTCCATATCAGTATCTCATACCAACCTGATTTTGAATTTTAGCAGGGTGGGGCTTTGGAAATTAATTTAATGTTAAAGCTCAAAGCACATTGTTAATAATACACCTAAAAAGGCTCAGATAATGCTCAAAAAACTCTGAAGGCATGAAGGCTACTGAAAGATTTAAGAGGACTTAAACCTGGACTGTAGAAACAAACACTTCTGAAAGCCTTTACAAGAACTGAGCAGGCTCAGATGCCAACTCCACTCACAGCATTAGAGCATCACCAAAAAATGCCAAGTGCTCCCTCAGAAGGGAGCACTGCTGGACCCCAGAGGCAGCACATGATGCTGGTCATACCAAGCAGATGTTTAGAAAAACACTTCCACTTGCAAGCAGACACAGCAGCAGCACAGGGGATCATGCTACCCCAGAAAACACATCTTCACATACACAGCATAACACAAACATTTGGCACTATATAGAAGGGATACTAACTTGGCAGCGGTGTTGGTTATGACCTAAAAGAAGAGAAAGAGAACAAACAACATCAAAACCAACCACACAGAAAAAGTCAATAGTTTTTAGAGTGCAAAGGGCAAAAGGTGTTTATGAAAGCTTGCTACAGGCTCTTTTCAGACCATCTACAAATAAGAACAAAAAGTAAATGTATGCCTAAAAACCCCAACGTGATTAAGAAAGGAAAAAATGTAGGGATTATACTTGATCCACTGGGACTTAGTAGGGTACCATGGTATTTTGGCTGACCCTTGAATGTGATTTTATTGCTGTACATCCCTAAAAGTACTACTACCTAAGTGTATGGGGCGGGGGGAGGGAGCAGAGGGAATAAAAAAGGATTTGCAGAGTATATTCTCATCTGAAAATAGCATATGAGTGGTAGAAATTATATTTTTCCCCTCAGATACTAAATATTCAGAGATGAAGTCTGTCCTCCTCAGGCCACCCTCAGAGTTGGTTTTGCAAGACTGATTTTTTGGGCTTTTACATGCTGGAGAAGATCCAAAAAATATACTGGGAGATGTTTTAAATCTAAGACTAAGGCAAATGCCTTTGTATTTAAAAAAGTATTGGCCTAAATCTGACTGTACTTACATTGCACCAACAGTGGTGTAAGCCAATTAGCTTCAGAAGAATCATTCCTCATTTTATTCCACATGAAATGAAGCAAGCTGTGCATTATGTGTTTTTTTGGGATATGGATATCAGGATATTTTATTGATCTGGTTCATGTTCATGCTCCATTTCTGCTTTGCTGCATAAACAACTGATGGTGGCTTGCACAGTAATTCCAGAGCAGCATAAACCAGCTAAACCTGGGAGTGATGAACAGTGTGCTCACACTGAACTGTGCTGCATTTCCTAATAACAAATAGCAATAATGGCCTATGATGTTTATCTTAACTTAGTTTTTTCAAAGCTTAGAGTACTCAAATTTTGGTCTTTTCTTGGTTGAAGACCATCATATTTTGTGCAAAATAAAGAGGAAGAGATCCAGGATCAGTTAATAAACTTTTCTTCTTACTTAGCTGCACAGAATGCTGTTGACAGAACTGGGCACTGAACCTTCCAACTCGCTGCTGTGACATTTCTGTACCCGGGACCGATAGAAAATACTGGACAGCAAAGTTACGCTGTTGGAGCGACATTCCAAGCGGATTTGTCTCCTTCTGCTTTTGCCTGGCAGAACCTTTGCTTTTACTGCTTCTCTCTACATACAGTCATTTTGCCTTGGCTCATCCAACAGCCTCTGTCGTGATCAAAACCACTCTAAGGAGCCAAGCTGTGGTAAAGGCTTTGCATTTCTGCATTTCCATGGTAAAACAATCACAGATCACCTTCTGCAGCTACTGGTCAGACTCTCAGATAAAAACCCTACATTAAGCCAAAGGTATCGGTTTGTTACAGGAACTGGTAGAGATATATTAGGAATAAGCTGCAGCCTGTAAGCACATTAGTGGTCCTATATCCTTTTTAGGTTTATGCAAGACAGCTGGACACTCACTGACAAAGAAACAGTGTAATAGTATCATTCTCTGACTAATCCGGGCCTCTACCTTACACATAAAATAATACTTTAAAGGCAGAACAACCATTCCTAAAATACAACTGAATTAGAGGAATATGTTTGCATAATGTTAAAATTTATTAAAAGATAGAAATCATCATGTGCACACACTAAAAGTTCAACAGACACGTCTCATCAAGATTTTGAGATATGAAGAGGCTACTACAGCTTCCCTCAAAAAGAGCAAAGCTTTGCTTCTCCTTATGTTTAGTATGTGATGACAAAATTCCCCCCAGTTCAGAGCCACACATTACTTTACTTTGATTCTAAATATGGACATGTATGAAACACCCAAGCTGCTGCTCACAGAGGTCACAGGGTAAGCAGCCAGTAACCCAAACCACCTGGCACGCACTTGTGGGACAGGTATTTACTGCCCTTGACCTACACTGTGAAAAGTAACTCGCACTGGAATGAGAAAGATCCACATGTTACAAACTATGACTCACTCTTCATATTTATTAATACTCTCCAGAGCTTCCAGCACATCACATCCCACACTCTTAACAGGCCACCACTTTTTTACCCTGGGCGAAGGTGATAAAGCTTTAATGTAAAGTGTATCAGAGAGACAGATGCTTTGTTATTCTTCAGAGATCAAGGAAATAATCTCAAAATTAATTTTAGTTCCTTGATAGAATTTTCCAAAGGGTTTAGCTAAACCTCTAGTAGCAATTCGCACAAGATTAAATCACTTGGTGAAAAGGACATGGCATTGAAACGTGAAATACACCTTAAGATCACCCCCCACACCTGAATTTTTCTAACAGCTCTTACCATACTAAGCACAAGTTCATGAATTCACAATGAATTCATGGATTTGGAGCATCATAATATCACAATCTTTACACAGCATCTCATGTTGTACTATATGACAACAGTGTCCCCAACGAAGTCCAGAGCTGATCTTGCAGAGCTCACAGTGCTTTCCCTGTGCATTCTTTCCCAAATATTTACCAAGAGATTGAGATTATCATGGATGATCCCGAGTCCCAAGGTAGTTACAGGTTCTATGTGTTATTCTGCAGAGAGTAGGAGGAGAGATGCCTCTCAGTTCACAGGTAACAGTCAAGTGGGAGTGGGAATGACAGCATTCCTGAGCTCTGAATTTTCTCTGCATGTGAGCAGAGATCTTAGAAGAGTTACCCGAGAAGACACATTTATTTAGTGCTTCTAGGCTTTTTCATCTTTTCAGAATGTTCCTGCGCTGCAGAACAAAGGCTGACTTTTAAAATTTTCTTATTTGTTCATCAGTGCTATGGATATTACAGGCAGATAGACAGAAACTCCCTAAAATTTTGTTCAAACTGAAAAAAGATAAAAATCTCAGATGGTTGTTCTAAGGTAGAACTTTGCTCTGTAATTCAGGGCACTGAATAAAGTTCACATATAAAGGGGACAAAAAACATGGAAAAGTAGCAGAGTGAAGACAGGGAAGTGTTTTCTGCAGGTACACCTTTTTTTGCACCCCACTAATCACTGTGACATCATGCAGTCCTATTGCAAAGCACTCTGGTATGAAAAGAAGGGCTCCCATAGACTTTGATGAGTGATGGATGCAGCTGTGTTGTAATTCTGATAACAAACAGTCACAATGCTGAGCTATCCAAAATACAGCCACTTTCACCCTCACCCTTGCAGATGTTGAGGGTTGTGAAGACAGTGGGAAAAAGATAGTGAGATATACTCCCAGGAAACTCTGCATAGTGAAAAAACACAAGGATTGGTATTCTTCAAGAAAACTGTCAATTAAGACAGAAGCATTCTGAGGTTTATTTTGCTGATTTTGCTAACTGAAATAATTTTCTTCTAAACAGTAATTGCTTTTCCTAATTATCCAGCATGAGAAGGGAGGACAGGATTTTTGCAGATAACTTAATTAGGATTGTTAATGCTGAGTCCTCAAGAGAGTTGCAATGAATCATATAAACTGCCTGAATCATCTAGAACACACATGTATAAGGATAAAATATCTTTACTTTTCTACAACTTAAAACTCGTGGTTTTGCTCTTGCAAACAGCTCCTTCAAAGAGATATAAAGTACCTGAAGATATGCATTTGCTATCAGACCTCAGTGGATTGTCTAAATTTTCTGTTTTTCCTCATATAGCCAAGTCCCTATCGCCAAACATACACTTTTGCCCATATCCATAATAAAAAAATTATCTTAATTTAAAAAAACCAAAGCACAAATAAACAAACTAAAAATTTACATTTGTTTGCCAATCAATACATGAAGGCAGGAAAATTAGGAAAACCTGTTTCTCATTGCCCTTTCTCATGTACTGTAGTCCAAAGTCCTGACTTACCAAACCTTCTAACAAAAGAGTTGATCTGCAATAATGTGCAAAAACTTGGACAGCATAGGATCAAACTGTCTGGGCAGTCTGATCTAGAGATCATTTGTTGTTATACATAAGTTAAGAGCAAAATACCAAAGCTGGTTGACAGCAGCTGCTCTAATGGCCAACAGCAGTACTTGGTTCCATGAGACTACAGGCAGTAGTTAAAACTGCTGAGTGCCAGAACCCCGAGAGGATCACAGTCACTTCAGTCCTCGTGTTCCTCCTCATGCTCTGGTGACTGTTGCCAATCCATATTGCACCTCAGATACCAAAGACCAAGAGTTATCCTGTGATGATAACGTCTTGGGGGTTACTGGAAAATGTAATGATTGTTTCAGACCTTAATCGTGATTACCAGACAAATACACAATAGGGTAGGTACTATTACATTAATTTTTCAGCAAATTCATTACTTATTGAAATATTAAATACGTTACCTACCCTCTAGGAAGTCCACCTTCTGAAGCCCTTCGGTTGAGACTTAATTTATGCATCTCAGCCATTTCCCTGAGAGTCTCTGCTGAGTAAAGGCCAATGGGGTTGTTATACTGCCTTGCAGGGCTCAGCTGGTGGGCAGGGCTATTGCCCCCAGCCAGCACAGGGCTTGCTTTGGAACCTAGAATACTCTTTGCAGGTGAAATGTCAGGAGTCACAGACTGAGAGGACATGGAAGATCTAACTGTGGTAGTCTTTAAGTAGGAAGAACTATTGGAAAAGCTGATCTCTTGCTGGTTGAGGTAGCCTGAAAACGTTCCATTGGTTGCTAAACCACTACCCACAGGCCCAGTCGCCGTGTTAGTTAGAGGGCTGAAGGTTGTTCTGTTGCCATTGATTTCCCAAGCAGGTTCCTGTAGAAGCAAACATGCAGGCCAAGAAAAGAAAAAAAAAGAAAAGAGCAATCATAGAACACATGCAAACATAACATCTGCAATTACTGCTGTAAACATGTTGATAAACTTGCAATAAATAGGTTGGGGTCAAAGCATTCAAATTTTCAGGGAAGATTTTCAACAAAGAAATGCATTGTTTCCAAATAAGGGAAGCAAAACATACTCAGGCACTTTTTACTGGGTTTTAGTTGAAATC